GGTTGAGGTCCAGCGGTGCACACTGCGATCGGATCCTTGCGGTTGAGGTCCAGGCGTGCACACTGCGATCGGATCCTTGCGGTTGAGGTCCAGGGATGCGCACTGCGATCGGATCCTGGCGGTTGAGGTCCAGGGGTGCACACTGCGAGGGGATCCTTGCGGTTGAGGTCCAGGGGTGCACACTGCGATCCGGAGCTGGCCAGACAAGATCGGCGAAGCAGATTGGCGAGGAAGGAAGCAAGGAGGAAGGAGGAAGGAGGAGGACGAGGAGGCGGCGGAGGCGGAGGCGGAGGCAGAACAGCTGTGATAAAATCTAACGACCCTCACCTGGCAGGTGGGGAAAAAGGAAACATATGAAAGAACTAGTTCTGGTTTCTAGGGAAAAGTCGCCAAGCCAGCAGTTTCTGGAGAGAATCCTCCAAAAGTTCTTTAAAGTATATAGATACGCCTAAAAACATGTAATCACAAAAACATGTAATCACAAGTAGAGATTTCTAGGAACAAGTTCCAGAGTAGAAACATCGTATAGGTTACCTTGTTTTCTTTGCCCTCCATAGTATTGCAGTTGTTTTGCCTTGTGAAGCAGCCCATGTTGCAGATCAAAAGTGGCAGACAACAGTGTCACTCAAGAGTGGCATACACAAGAGTGCGTCTCAGAAGAGGGTCCTACAACAATCCTCTTCGAGTGGCAAACAAGAGTGACCCACACCAGTGTTGCAAGAATGTCCTTTCTGAGTGTCTTGCAAGAGTGTCCTGGAAGAGCGTCCCGCAAGAGAGTTACACACGAGTGCCTGTGTGTTGATGGTTCAATAATATGTACTTTAAGAATGTCATACCGAACTGTTGTTCCAGAGTGTCCAAAAAGAGTCTCCTGGAAGAGTATGACGCAAGAGTGTCCCATAAAGTATTGCGCGACAGTCACAAGAGTGTCATTCACGGTTGTCCCAGAGCAGTGCCCTGCAAACGTGTCTCACACAAGTGTTCTACATGAATGTAACCCAAGGGTCTCTGTGCAACATTTATATAGTAACTATATAATATTACATAGTGACTTGCCCTTCCTGGCAGTATTTTTCCATGTGGCTTATTTGTCAGATTGCTTGGCTTCTTGTGTCTGCACTCTGCACCATTTGCAGCCTAGGCAGGATCTCCAAGATGGAAGTGACTTGGCAGCTTCAGCGACCAGAGATTGATGCCCTTGTTTGCAATAATAGATCTGCTGCCCAGAGCGCTCAGAGCGCGGACGGCGGACGCGCCAAATTCACTTGGGCAATATGTTCAATTTGTCAGCGGTTGACAGCTCACCTCAGGAGATTCATCATCGTGAGCTGCTGAGTGACATAATCTTTGCAGCAGGGTCCCCAGTTGTTCTCACAGCCTGCCGATGTTTTCCCGCCAAAATCTTGGCTGGCACCACGGTGGTAAGATGTGGTAAGGGTATACTGGACGGTGCAGACAGAGGACTTTGTAGAGACAACAATCCGTGCATGCTCTTTCATGGACCTGTCATGGCTCACACCACAGCCTGCCTGTTCAAGTGACTATATAATTGAAGGAAGCAAGAGAGATGAGGAGATTCTTGCTGTGTTTGTGATTGGGCAACTTCTTATGAACTCTTTTCAATCCTTTGCCTTTGTATGTGGAGTTAACGCTCAGGAGCCGAGTGTATTGTCATGATTTTACAGCATAGCATACATACTTGATCCCCGGCCGAATATCCTCTATACAATCTGGGAGCTTGAGCTTAAAATGACCTTCAGATTTTATAGACAATTTTCTTGCAGAATCAAATATCAACCTATTTGAAAAACCACCACATTTTTACATTGACGTCCAAACAAGTCAGCTTGTTCTCTCAAAATGGGCGCCGACATTTGATTCTATAGCGAGGGCACGCCGTGTCACCAGATTTTATAGAGGTCCTAACATTTGTTTCTATAGAAAGCATCTGGAGTAGTAGAAGGTTGAGAATTACTGTAATTTCAGAGTGGATGGTGCGGTGTGAGGTCAGGTAGAGGTAGGTTGATATTTCAAGCATTTTGAGTAATAGAAGGTTGAGAATTGAGTTTAGAGTAGATGGTGTGCTGTGAGGTCTTGGGCCACGTGTGTC